AGTAGTTCTACCGAAGAAATAAATCCAATATTATAAAATAACTCATATTTTTATTTCTTTATATACACAAAGGCAAGTTTCAATAATTTGTTCCACATATTATCAAAAATGAGTTGTATACAGTAAATATATATGGTATAACGGCTTTGTTTGACGTAATTTTGCTAAAACAAAATAAGTACATGAATAACTTAAAAAGTATACCCACGCATTTGTGTGCAGAGATAAGCTAATATGAATATAGTTAAAAGTCTATTCTGTCAACACCATTTTCATCCAAGTCTACTACTTATCAAATCAGCATTAAACCAACTGCAAACCTAGAATTTAAATATTAACTTTGTATGGGCTCCTGCACATATCGAAATCGCTAGTAATGAAGAAGTCTAGTATAATATATATGATAAAACTATCATTCTCGACTCCCGAAGCTGTACAATCTAGAAGCATTCCACACATATAAACAAAACCTATAAACAAGAAGTTAATACCCAATGCTTGCCAGATCATGTGGATTCAATCAACATCCAAACTGCGAGAATTAAAAAATTCTATACTTCCTTGAAAATAAATCATACACAACCATTACACTATAGACATATATGTAATACAAATAGACTGAGCGCTGTAGTACAGACCCGCTCCCCCAGTGCGACAGAGAAAACTGAGGCAAAGTAATCTCTGCATTTTTTTTCTAATGGGTCGGGTTTATTGCCCACATGACCTAAGTGACCAATGGGAAGATCACTTGGTTAAAACAGGACATAGCAACATCAGAAATAAAATCAGGATACCGAATGGAAGATGACTTCCGATCTACCTTTCAAGTAGACATATGCTCCCGAGAGGGATAGGACAAAAGAAACTTACAACCCAAGCTGCATTGTTATATCTGACATACAGAGGGGTCTACAAGTGTCGAACGGTCGGTTGTAGGAATATTCAGTTATACTGGAAATGTAAATATATAATGTATGAGAATTATGCAATTTTAATAGGCGGTATGTCTTTACTAACTACATAAATAAATATCGATTGTTACCTTATTCCAAATATATACATCTATCTTTGGTATTTCGCATTTTATTTCTTATCGCTGCTTTATCATTAATCCATTTGGTAGTATGTAAATATACTCTAATCATTTTCAGCATCTTCAAAGGAATTTTCTAATTTAATATTTTCCACACTCAAATTGTAAGATTTTTTATATATTTTTAAGCATGATATTCCAAAAACATAAAGCACCTAGGTGGATTTTTATTTGTTTAAAAATTTTCCTAATTTACATTTCTAAATAGCCAAGATATAGAGTTGACCTTACTTTATTTTCTTTCTTCTGTTTATAAACAAATAACACCAAAAAAATTGTTTCGTGTCATTTTTCCAATTGAATACTCCTATTTAACTTTGATAAGAATTAAAAACATAAACTTCCAGTAACGTCATGGACAACCCCGACGAATTTGTATGTAACGGTACATACTTTCCTGTGGGGTATTGTATCATGATTATATACATATTTTACTTTTATCTTAAACTTTTATTTATTTTTATAATTTAAATTAAATCTATTCAGTGACCTAGTACAATGAAATAAGCTTTTTTATATATACCATACAGTTGAAGTGAAAATTTATAATAGACTGCGTCCCAAACTAGTCCCGAAGCTATATTTATAATCTCACTAAAATGCTACGATTCATCAAATAAGTGTATTGCTCTCTGCCAGCCAAAAAAAGGACTGTTATCGTCAACATTTGCTGTTAGTTGAGGGACTTTCGCTAACAATACTTTGATGTCTGCAATCCAACATTCACACTGTATGAAAGTGCATTCCACTATCTTCAGAATTTCATGTTTTTTAAACATAGAATACAATTAAAAAGGGTTTAAAAATACAACGATAAGATGTTTGAATTATTATATTTTTTCAAGAAAACTAATGTATACCGCGAATTACAAGTGGATGATATTGAGTACTTCTATAAAGCTATAGACAACAATTTCCAAGTCACTTAAAAAAACACATTATTATTATCACAGTACTAAATGCTCAGAATTTAAAATTAATTTAGATTCATCTTAAGGTTTAAAATCTCTAGACTAACATTACTTTGAATGCACATTTAATAATGTACTCTCATAACCGCAGTATTAGTATATTATGATCATCTAAAAGACTCTAAAAAAAGATTCTAAATTCACACCGAAATAAAAAGATATAACTAACGTCAAACTATTTTTTAAGTTTCCACAGTTCTATCTTAATCATGACATGATTCACCAAGCTTTGCCCTCTTCAAAGATTAAGCAACAACTAACTTCAGCTTCACACTGAGTATTTAAAAATGAGTGATATCACAATGACAGTTCAAAGCAGAACAATAATAAATATCGATACCTTCTTGCCTTAGTTTTGTACAGAAATTTATAAACACAATATGATCATCCCACAAACTTAAAATACAATACAATATCAAAATTTTGTAACAGACAAAAACCTCTAAATAGAAAATACGAAAATAAATGTAATTCTATAAAAAATAATTTAAAAATGGGGAATTACTCATATGTTTATTCATCATTCATTCAGCAGGTTACCTGCATTTCAATATTTATTATGTTCTCTAAAAATGTATTTATTTCTAAAGGTTCTTCTGAACAAGCTTATATACAGTTCATCCGCTGTATCTTTGAACAAGTGTGACATTATTCACGAAATAGTTTTATATTACGTCTTTTTACCGAAACTAAACGATGAAATTAAGCTGCCTGTCCATACACAACAGTATGCATCGAATAAAGACAGCCATAATATGATGATGGATTGATTCATCTACTGGCAATTATGAATTTTGTTTTGATAGCGGTTGTAGTGTGTTTATAAATTATTTAATGTTGTTTGAATATTCAATCCATTTCGTAGTATTTATTTATTTGCTAAAGACGAGAAATAATATATTCTAACCTCTAAATTGACATTTAAATATTTAAATCTGGCTTAAACCACGGAAATGGACTAATATGGAATATGATTTAAGGGTTTTTACATTTAAAGTATGCCTGGTAAACCATTAAATTCTCAAGCATAACGTTTTGTTTGAAATGTGTCGATAGAAAAATGAATGGATGGACTTTAGAGCCATTTTCATCTGTTCGGCAGGTAATATATTGAAATATATGTTAGTTTATCAAAATACTTATCATTGAACAATACTTTTATTTAAAGGAGTAGCTGCTGTAAAATTATAAAAAGGAAAGACAATAATCACATTCTTTCAAAGTCAGGTAAATTGGAAAAGTCTTATATAAATGTATGCTGCAAGAAAAAGATTGATGAAAAAGAAATTGTGCTGATACATGTTGATATAAGTCAATTTCTTGTGAGTTTTTTATTTGAAATAATTAATAGTTTTACAGATGATTATAGTGAGGTAGTAATTTAAATTAAAAATAAAATATAATTAAAATATGAAAAACAAACTATTTATTTTCTTTACATGTAACTAATTGCAACAGTGCGATTTATTCTGTACTTATTTATTTTTTTAGCGAAACATGTTACTCTGCAAGTATAAGTAATGAATTAAGGGATAAAGAAGTAATATTTATTGTCCAAATATCTGTTAGCATTTTGTTAAAAGAATTTGAATTTAAATACAAGACGGACAATAATCGAAGAGCATTTATTGAGCGCACCCGTATTGCTACTTTAAGAGCCAAGTTCTTTCGCAAATCCATGAAAAATCTTAATAGTTTGTATCACAGAGACCTTGTTTTTTGGACTAAACGGGGATCTATTCAGAGAGAAATCAAACAATTTCCTGGCCAGATATCAGTGTTAAAAGTGTACGTATATCAGAAGGGTAAGAAGCTAAATGTATTATAATTGTTCAAGCTGGTTCTTCGAAAGCACTTGTTACTGAAGCAAGTTTACTATTTTGATAAAAATCTTAAGTAGCTGATTATCATACGGACATGAACAATGAAATTTTCACTAAACTGATAAGTGAACAATAAATTTCTAATTTAGAAGAACCATCATTAATTCTGAATAATAATGCGTCCACATAACAGAGTTGTTAGAAAAGCAACCTTCCACTATTTCAACTAGAGTGGACATTATTACCTGGTTGACAACAAACAACATCAAGTATAACGCAAAGCTCATAAAATCTGAATTACTATATACTATTATATATGTATATTGTTTTTTTCGTTCCAAGGATATTTACTTCATCCAAGAAGATTTGCCTATCTTCATCGTGCATTATTCCTGTTGAAAAAGTTATAATAAACAATAATTTGTCAATGTTAAGGTAACAGTAACTTCGAAAAGTCAGTACGTGGTGAAGTATGACATGTTTAAGGCCATACAGTGAACGATTTTCAAAAATCTGGTTAGAATTTGTTTACTTTATATAATAATAGATTTCCACACAGTAAATCTCCACTGGTTCAATATTATCTTTTGCTCTTAGTATTTTTGTGAACTTATTTATGTGTTTTTGGTTTTGGTATATCCGAATCATCAAAAAAAGTTATTTTCTATTTGTCGTATATCTTTTTACGAGGTATCTATTTTCATCGCATACTCATTTCAATTCTACTGAATTGTATTTCATGTTTGTACACTTTGTACATCGTTTTTACTTTTTTCTGACGCCAGAGACACAGTCCCCTAAAGCGTACATATTTTACATAAATACATATTGCAATACAAACACTACACTTACCATTTCTTTTCGGTCAATCAAAGAACTAATAACTAACTAACTAAAAGGAAATTTTTTCAATAATAAATAAGCTCTTAAATCACTGAAGATAAAGCAGTGTTAGTGAGTAATATAAACAAATGTTTTAAATCAAGAATGTATGAGTTTTATAGCTGACAAATTTTTTAAAATTCCAGATTTAGATGATGATAATATCTGCTTTTTAACGTACTGCTAAGAGATATTGCTTAAAATCTAATAGCTACACTTTAATTACCACCTCTAAAGACTCTGAGTTTTGTATGGATTTTGTGTATCAGCAACACCAGTTTCAGGGTATGAATTTGGATAGGAAACTGATCTGTTTAATTGTACGTTTGAAGGATTCACGATACTTGTAGAAGAATTATAAGGATGTGGTGAGGGATTTGGTAAAACAGAATCTGATTTTGTAGTAGGTTTTGGTATGAAACCTAAAAGTTGCTGAAGCATTTTGGGATCAGAATTTTGAACGGTTGGATCATAATCACTATGTACTATAAGATGTCGCTGAAGATGTTGTTTCTTTTTAAAGCCCTTCTTACAAATGGGACAAAAATGAGATGGGGGTTTGCCACATTCTTCTCTTTTATGATTGCACAGATTTGTTTTGTGTTTATAAGAACGGCCGCATTGGTCGCATTTGAATCTTTGAACTGCAAATTCATTCCAAGCTAAAAAAAGTAATAAAATTAGTAAAATGTAAAACAAACATTCGAAACTTAAACATTCTTAAGTGAGAAATAATGATTAAAAATAGTCTATCTTCATACATATATACATACATATATGCATACACATTATTCATTACTTGTGACAATTTTAAATGGCGACAATAAGCTTTTTGTCAAATGAACACAATCCATAAATTTAAATTTATATAAAAATAATTAGAAAAGTGCATGAATATTTTGTTGAGACTTACTTATTGCTCTAAAAACCGTAAAAATCATATTCGGGCATCTATTCTTGCTTTCATCTGCCTCTTTGTAAGTTTTCGTCTTTGTTAGCAAATATAAATTTACTATAAATATATATATATATATATATATATATATATATATATATATATATATATATATATATATATATATATATATATATATATATAAGCCACGTAAAGATATCCTTCTTGACACAGAAGTACCTACTTACCAACACGCAGTTTGATATTGTATTCGATTGACACAAGGCAACTCGATGCAGCTCGTCTACGATACCGAGGGAAGAAACAACTGCGAAAGTTGTTCGTGAGAAAATACCAAAAAGAGCTTTCTTTAAATCACATTTTTGCGCAACAGGACTGAAGATTTTTTAACAATAATTTTTGACATAATCCAATGTTAATTAATTTTATTTAAGTAAATATTCCTATTTTACTTTAACATATACCTTGACATTGGTCTTTTTTGTCCTTCTATATGGTTTGGTTCCATAAAATATTTATTTAGTTGTAAAATAGCTTTCCTATCCTGGGTTTTTAACGTGATATATAATTTTTAGTCCTAGGTAAGAAAATCCATTTTCACATCTTTAATTTGTGGTCCAGTTTCTTGCTGTTGGTTCTGCTGTTCCTCTTCCATACTCATATATCTGGTTTGTTCCATATTTACTTCTCAACCCTATTTTTTTTATATATTTATACGAATTTTTGTATCATTAGTCGAGATCTTCATAACATTAAGCCATAGCTATCTGATGGTCTGCGTAACAGATGGAAGTTTAGTTCGCTGTCATTCAGAGGGAATCCCATTCCATAGCATTTCCTCTTATGTTTTTAATATTGTTTGTAGGTGTATCTTATTTTTAATGCTGATTTTAGCTGGATTTTGAAAAGTGTGAGGGTATGAGTGTGTTTTAACCACTTAGTAATTGTAAAACATTGCATCGTTCCATCTCTAACTTTTATTTTTACATGGAGATGACATCGGATAACTGCTATGATTTACTTTTAGCGAACCTTGATAACTGTATCTAGATATGGTTTTATTTAATTGTCAAATATTATCTTAGTATTTGAAACGTACTTCAATTCACACGATATTACACAAGAAACACACGTGGTTTCCAGCTTTGGAGGAAAACTTTGCCTACTGATCCATAAATTCCAGATATAACTACAGGATATCAATTGCTTTAAACCATATGGAGGTCACTTAATAGATTAAGAATCGACAAGGTTGACGTAAGTCAAAATTAGATGTAATTGAAGGTTTTCGGAGGATGGCACTCTCCTTGATGGATTTGCAGTTGAATTTTTAAAATCATATTAAAATATACACACAAATTTCATTATTTCTTGTCAGAAATATCATCTAGAAAATCAATTCATAAAAATACTGCAGTCATCAAAATTAGAGTTCAAATATCAAAATTCAATAATTAAGAGAAATAAATAAGTTTATGATGTTAGAGACACCAAGTAAGGACCTAAACTGTTTTATATATTTTGTGACTTTATTAACATTTTGATGATATTTGACATAATGTATAGTTCATATCCACGAACTTATACAAATCAGGAGAAAAAAAGTTTTTTTATAACAATATATTATAGCATTTATTAAAAAAAGATATACAGTAGGTTTAAAATAATAAGATACGCGGTAAAGACATTCTCACAAGGCATCAAGTTTTCTAAGCAAATCTTATTTTTGTCGCACCTTTCTTACAAATTTTACTTGAAAGAGCCAATTCTTCTTGTATCCAAGGTTACACGATCGCTCCACCTACAGTCCGTTCAGACGGCATGCACGATACGATTTTTTATTCGAAACGAAGTATTATCAAACCAAATATCTTTAGCCCAGAGCCCTAGATAGTTTGCGGCAAAGGTGAATAATAGATGTTTATAATAGATGTTAATTCGTTTTTTATGATGTATTGCGTCAAGAACCGTACCTAGATACAAGCGCCACGAAATACGAATGTAAATTTGGACGCATCGAGTAAAATTTCCGAACGCGAAATTAGATCGAATCGTCTTAACACGCCCATTTAAAACTAGGTGCCACTGAGCAATTCGACATTTTTATCGATTCGATCAAAAATTCGAATCCGTACCGTCTGAACGGACTGTAAGATTTGACTTGCCATGTTTTACACACACAAGGTTTGCAACAAGAACATTATTACGGTCAACGACATATCCAACTCAGATATGTTTAAGGTTAACTTTACTGAGTCGGACCTTATATTCGGAAAGACCTATATCTACAACAAAAATCGACAAATATAAAATTTTTTCAATTAAATAAATAGCTTTTTTACTATTTTTATTGGGAATAAGCCACGATTTTACTTTAAAATAAGTTTATTTTGACGTTTAAGTTTCCACTTCTGAAATCAGTCTACACATACACAACATTAATGAAACAAATTTTATCTTTGTTATTGGGTGAAAAAATTCTTCTAGAATTAAATAAATTCACTTTTTTACCAAGTAACAAAAACAAAATAAAAAACAAAACATAAAAAAGTCAATGAGCGAACGGAATCTATCAACGGAAGATTGCCACGATAGAAGAGGATGGCAGTTAGGTGTCGGACAACGGAGAAAGACGTTCTAAACCGGCATATATATATATATATATATATATATATATATATATATATATATTATATATATATATAAACAAAATTTGCTTTAATTTATTAATCTTTTGTATTTTAAGAACGATTTCCGAAGTAGAAACAAATCGTCAAAATAAACTTATTCTAAGGTAAAATTATAGCTTATTTTTAATAAAAGTAATAAATTGTAATAATGTGCCACAAGAAAATAGCTTCAGAACAACATTAAATATTCTATCCAAAGTTGCAGACGTTTTCGAAAATTCGGTACTGAAAAATTTAAAGTTATCTCCAAAACAATGGCGTAAAAATACGCATTTTATAGCTCCTTAAAAATATTCCTCAAACTCAACTATTTAATCGATTTTAATTTTTCAGAATGGGTTTGAAAATTTGTTTATTCTTCTATACACAAAAATCCAATTATTTATATAAAACATGCACAGCTTTGGAGTGCAAACATATTAGACAATATAAGGAAACATATATCTCCTTTTGCTTTCCACTATTGCTTCAAATTTGACGTAACACATTTTCAGAAAACTTTTAGGTTTCCCATAAGTCAATTACCAAAACATTTCTACAGTGTTTTTTTATCTTTGCGTACTAGAATTTTTTTTTTACTAATTATTGCACTACGCTATATAAGTCGCATGTGATACAACATATAACTGCAAACCGTTTTTACTTCTATACATTATTATCTTAGGTACACTTTCCGAAATATTCAGGGTAGAATGTTGAATACCAATTTTAGTAACGTCAATTTTTCGATCTGAGATTAACTTCTGTATTGGGGTATACATTATTTGTGAAATTATAAATTAGGGATTTGAGCTCATTTGAGTGCAGTCTATTATACAAAGTTACTTAACCAACAACTAGAGAGTAATTATTAGTAGCTGTCAATAAAACTATAATTTTTACTCCACACTACAACCATTTATTTATCATCGTCGATCGAGAAGAATCGGCCAAAGGGGCATTAGAAACCGATTCGATCCTGATATTTACATCGAATCTGTCCATATTGATTTAATTTTTTACTTCTTATTTAATGTCTATAGTTTGTTAATTATTTTTCAGGCAGTTTTTAAATTTAAACCTGCTTAGAGTAAATGTATGATGACTAGAAACCAATTGATCGAGAGTAGTGAATCTATGTCAAGAACTGCTATTATATGACGCTATCTGTAACCTTTTTTTTGCCGCACTCCCCTAAAAGGAGGTTTTAGGAAGAAACCTGCAGTAGGAGAATCAAACTTTTTTACATCTAATTTGGGGTTTCAAAATTGCATTTTTAGCCAAATCAGCTTATTCGTCTCGTTTTAGAGATCAAATATCTGACGACTGGACTATTAACGAAGGAGCATGCTCAAATTCTTGTTATGAACAACATGGTATACACATTTCTATGAGGCTAAATCAAGTAGATCAATTTTTGGTGAGCAAAGTATTTACTCATTGATATGCAATTTAAATAAATTAGCCTTTTATAACATTACAACTTCCAGTGTTTACGTTAACTAAAGTTTCCGATCTTCTTCAATGTTTATTGTTACAGTATTCTTCTTTCTCTCCTGTCCTTAATGTTTCAGCATTTACTCTACAAAATTTATCTAAAATACGATGTAATCGATTCTTGTAATTTAGGGATATTTGACGCATAACCTTATCTTTAGTTCAAATAAAAAGATCCACATTAGCAGCTGCAAATTATCAGGATTCCGTAAATACGACATTGTGTAAAATATAGAATATTTTATTATGTGATGTAAAACCTAATTTTCCACTACAAGAACAATATTTTGACCAGTTACATCCCCTCATTATGGACTTCATTATGCATACTCGCAAGATGCCGCTTAAGATGGTAGTTTCTCTTGAAACCTTTTTGGCAAATGGGACAAAAGTGGGATGGACCTTTGCCACATTCATCCTTCTTGTGGTTGCATAAATTTGATTGGTGTTTATAAGAACGGCCACATTTATCGCAGTTAAACCTTTGACTGTCCCAGGCTGAAAAATATTAATATTAAGTAATTGTAGCTGTCCATATATGATATCTTTACCTTACAGCGAATATTTTAGTTATGTTAGTTATGTATACGAAAAAACCTATAAAGATCATACGGACAAGTTACATTTTGCTGCGAATGTCAATTTCTAAACCCCAAAAAGATACAAAAAAAGTGTAGCAGTAGGCGGTACTGTCGACTATCGCGAAGCCTTATACTATGTTTTCTGTATTTTTAAATTTAAATAATATATTTAAAATTCAATAAAAATAATTTTATTATTTATATATTTTTTATGTTTTAAACACAATCAAGACATTATTATGTTTGCTCCTAACGTCACCTGTTAACGTATTAACAAA